CTTCACTGGGTCCTTAGCTCGACACATATTGTCTATTGCTTCGAACGTTCGATAACTACTGATGAGAATACGATTAGATTAACATCTACAGAACTAGTTTTAATTTTCCTTTCTATACGTCTCAAAAGTCTAAACAGGCGGGCAAATGTCAAGTGTGGCGCCCTAAAACAGGTCTGACCATTGACCTGTAGAATGCCCCCCAAAAAACATTCAGGACCACTGTATGAAAAAAAAAGTACAACGTACAGCGTACACCTATTGAAATATAAACGTTGCAAAGTAAAACGTAATGAGGCTAGCTGGGTGGAGTGTTGAGCATCTGCCAACTTGAGCCTGCAGATCAGTCACTCAGAGTGCAGACTGCAGACTGCAGACTAAGAGCAGAGTACAGAGTACAGAGTACAGCCTGCACTGCAGAACAGCAGACTGTATCCAAAATGAAAAGACAAATAAAAACGTTTTTTTAAATACATATTAGGATTATGTAGGGTCTTAGGGACTCAGACTCCGTTAAAAAAAAGACGCAAGTTTTAAGTTGCCCAAGCACCCGGGTCCCAGGGCTCAGGGCAGAGGGCTAGGGCTCCAAGCCCCCATTGATGGACTGGGATTGTGGGGGACAAATAATCTGGGACAAAGCCGAACTCAGCGAGTCTTTAAGACTTAACTCCTAAGCATACAATTCAAATGGCCCTGTCCAAATGGTCCAAAAAAAAATTGAAAACAAAAGGGCTACATAGGAGGCCAAAACTCCAGGAGTAGTTGCGATAGCTTCGCTATTTTATAATTAAAATATATATAAGAGCCACTAATTTCTACGAAGTTCAATAAATTGATGTAAAATTCAACCCCTAGATCCCAAAACGATAACAATATATCCCATTCCACTACAATCAGTTATTGGAGTCAAGGACAATTAAATTTCAAGTAATATTGCCAGTAGAAAGCCTTGTGGTTAAAAACAAAAGCACCGGACAATAGAATAAAAGTACTAGTAGGACACTAGTGAGAGTCAAAATAAGCTCCATATGTCTCTTATACAGTGAACTATTGGTGATCTTGAGATTCTAGAGTATTAGTATGATTTCAAAGCATTAAAACAAGTTAAACAACCCTTTGGTATATGTATTGGAAATGATAGTGTAAAATGAGTAAATAATTGAACATCAATGAATGAAAAGATTAAATGATATCATGAAGTCATGACGTAGGTGATCGGGTGTGTAGTCAATGAGCTCGTTACTCTAGGCTAGAGTATAGAGAAAAAGAGTAAGAGTAAACCCCTTGAGGCTCGTTACTCGTATAGTCGTATATGTATCGTATTTTGTTTTGGGTTGTTTTTATATATAAAAAATTAAGAGAAAACAAACCCACATATTCAACGTTAGCACAAAATGACAATTGTACGGCTTCACTGCTTCAGGCTTGCACGTACAACATTTTTATTTTAAAAAAAAAACAAATAACAAAATTGATAAAAGTTTAAATTACATTTGACAAACAATATATTTACAAATGTACAGTATGTAAATACATTTGTAGATTTTTAAAATTTTTGATATGATAAAATTGATTTTAGAAATAAACAATACGTTTTATCTATATTCTTTGTAATAAACTAAAAATAGTATACAACTTTTACAAAAGTTGCCTGAAATGATTCTGAATGTTTTGTATTTTTCAAGATGTTAAAAAATAAAAACAGACAGTTGTAGATTGATTTTTTTTAATATATAAATGCCATTTGTCAATACATATATTCATAGGCTAAATAGATTATCAGACAAGGCTATGATATAGCATATATTTTAATACAAAAAAACCAAGAAATTTCTCAAGCTCTTTAACTCTGCTTTAATAAAAACCAATAAATACTTGTTTGTCCCAACTCCATGACGGCAGCCGAACAAACAGCGCCACAGCCAGTCAGCCACAGCTCCAGGCCCACAATTCACAAAGGCCGCAATCCCACGCCCCACGGACCCACAGGCCACAGAGTCACAGCCTCAAGAGAGAGAAAGGACAAATGTAGGATGTAAATACCACAAGTTGCCATTTGCCGCCAACACAATCCTCGGGCAGATGGGGGCGGGCCTTGAGGCTTGAGCCCTTGAGTCCTTGACTCTCACCTGTTGGCACTTGGCACTAGGCAGCCACACGGACGGTCGGACGCCGCGCGGCCGCGGTCGCATGCGCAACAAGATTCTTGTTTTTGTCTTTGAAAAAAGAAATAAATTCAGCTCCGTCTACGACTCACGACTTTCGCGGCTGATGAGTGTTCAACTGTTCATGCAAGATTAAGTCATGAGCACCTGGTCAAGATGAGTGAATGACTGATTGTCTGAACTCAGTCACTCTGATGTCTATTAGCTGAAAATTTGCAAAAAAATAAATATTTTAAAAAAACAAAAACAAAAAACAAAATAAAATAGTTTTCTTGGACCAGGATAAGGGCCCGGGCGGTGCCAGGCCCCAGCTCCCCGGTTAGGGCTATTTGTTTTTTGAACATAGGCATGGGGGTTTTTTATAAAAAACATAATTGATGTATATATACACACACATATATATATATATATATATATAAATATGTAAATATCAAAAAACTCTTGGGGTTAATCTTGCTTGTCCATTCTGTTTCCCTGCCGACGATAGACGGTTGCGTCGACTTACGACTAACGACTTTCACAGGCTCATTTTATCATACAAATACTTTTGAAAATAGTAGAGTAACGGCGGGGCACAAGAGCCAGAGACTCAGAGTTCAAGTCGGCAGGTAGCAGGATAAAAACCAGAACCTATTACTACTCTAGTACAAAAAATTATGTATTTCTCGAGCCATCACAGTATGTATTTCTCGAGCCATCACAGTATGTATTTCTCGAGCCATCACAGTATGTATTTCTCGAGCCATCACAGACATACATAAAGCACTGCTCAAATCACCATTTCCCTATTCAAACAGAATTAAACAACAATTAGCTTGTTCAAGATGCGATCATATACACAATACTGGAAGAGTTTATCGGTGTTCCTCTTTCTTGCAGTGGGGCAGATTGAGGGTATAGAAATATCTGGCATCGACAATGGTCTTGGTGCTATGGTCAGGTTGGAGCGGGGACAGACGCGAGACTCCGCATTATCTGTATTATCAAGTGTTATAAATGTTGTTGATGGCATCATTTCGGATGTAGTAAGCGGGGAGTTTGTTGGAGGCATCATTACAGATATATCTAGCGGTAATGAACATCTCATAGCGTTCAGCAACGATTTCGTACAAAGCGGTACCTTGCTGTCACTACTATCACTTCCATCAGTTGCTGCCGCTGAATTCATCCAGAATTATGGAGGAAATGCTCCGATTAGAGAACGTCGACAAGGTGGCTCGAATTGGCATTTGGATAGAATAAACCAAAGGAGCAATACACAAGACGGGAATGCGAACATCGCAGCTGGCGGCGCAGGAGTTAGAATCTTCGTGGTCGATTCAGGTGTAGATATTGCCCATCCTGCCTTTGTAGGCGCTGACGGGCAATCTCGGGCGGAACACTTCTACAACGCCTTCGATATGAATGGAGAAGGTCCTGAAGATACATATGGACATGGCACACATGTTGCTGGTCTTGCTGCAGGTGTCGGGTACGGAGCTGCGGTTCAGGCTAAGGTGTCGAGTGTGAAAGTTCTGGACAAGGATGGTCGCGGAACAACATGGTCAGTGCTTGAAGGGTTGAACCGTATATTGAACGTGGCCCTCCAAAGCCCGACAACAGAGATGAGAATTGCAGTATTGTCTTTGTCAGGACCTTTATCACCGATGGTTGATGCAATGGTTGTGCAGCTGTATCTTGCCAATGTGCTCGTGGTGGTCTCGGCTGGTAATAACGGCGGTCAGAACGCCTGCTCATTCTCGCCTGCAGGAAACTTCGCGGCGATCACTGTCGGCGCAACCGGTCAGGACGATCGCATTGCCTCGTTTTCTAATCGAGGCATGTGCGTAGACATTCTTGCCCCCGGAGTTGGCGTTTACTCAACTCTAAATGGAGGAGGTGTTGGTCCAATGGAGGGCACTAGTATGTCCGCACCCCTCGTTGCCGGTGTAGCAGCTTCGTTGTGGTCACAAGCGACGAGTATGGGTGCACGACAAGTTAGGACTAAGGTACTTATGGACAGCACTTCCTTAACACTGGCAAGAAATGGTAATGATAAGGATACTACGGACAGGTTCTTATTTTCAGAACTTAAAGTCGTTGGCGCGCTATCTGCCGATTTTGAACCAACTAGAGCTGGTCTCTTGAGATGGAATTCAGCTGCAATTTCCAACAATGACCTCGCCGTGAGCGCTGGATTTTATGCCGATATCGGTGGTACCAATGCGGATGCTTGGATACAAGTACGAACTGCACGTAGTTCAAATATAGCCTTTGACGATCCTATGTCTACCCGACCCGCGCAATCTTACGTTATACAAGATGGTCAGAAGGAGGTCCGCATTTACGCGGGCGGCCCTGTAGTGAAAGTGTTCCCTTCAGGGACCACTTCCACTTATGTTTTAGTCGCTAGTCTGTTAAGTTCTATCACGGGTCTGGTGGATAGTATTATCGGCGCTCCTAATGCTCAGAACATTCAGGTATTCTTAAACGCCATTGGGTTGTCCGATGTATCAGATTTGTTTGTTTACGACAGCAGCAATGCCTATGGCATCGTTAAAGGAGCGTTAATGCCTGCCACTGACCAGGAGTTTAACGCCGACCGTTGGAAAATGTATAGAGGTTGAGTCGAGAAACTCGATTGGTCTTAGAATAGACCTGTCTTCTTTCTTAATGACCATGCATGGCTTTCTAATCCTAGTTCATTTGGTGTATCTTTCAGCATCACTATACATGATAGTAAACTAATAATAATAAATACCTTGTTTAAATTCATAAATAAATACATACATATCGAATATAGGAATTTAACATTCTGTCCAATGTATTGTCGGCTATGTACATTCACATTTTCACAGGGGGAAATGCATAGCTGTCTTAACTAATAGACAGAAAATCAGTGTATTTAGCGTCGAAACAGGGTGCATGCAGATTTTGTCCCAATTTTGTCTTTTTGATGGGCCGGATAAAAAAAATTATTTCTTGTAAACATGACTACCCGCAGGGGGTGAGCCGAGCTCGGTAGGCTTCGCCGTTTTAGACCTGTTCTCCTCGCCACACTTCATAGAAGTAATCACAGTTAAATACGACAGTGGTAGTAGTCCTAAATTAGTGTTTAGTACAAGAATGCAGTGCGAATTAACGACATCAGAACTATATAGGTTGTATATTCCAAAATTGACCAATACAATTGAAGATTCTAACGATCAACATTCATCGGTCCACCAGGGATGGGGATGTCTCCCCCATATTCCAAAATTCCCAGTTTTGACAGAATTCCACAGTTCACGTACCAAATACGCATCACTGCGACTATGACCCCTGCGCCCTGTGGGTGAAAAGGAAACCAACTCTATTTATATAACCGTATTTTTTAATTTACCAGTATTTATACGACGTTTCACCGTGTTTACAAACCCCTGGCAGCGGAACAACTTTTATACTTGCACAGTATTCGTGCGATATACTTTAATTACGCTTATTATTGCTGTATACTCCACACTTTGCGCAAAATTATGACCACACTAAGCGTGTTTGTTTGTATGTGACACACTTTAGAGCTATATTATACTAGCTATAATACATCATGTGGAGAATAAAGTCATCAATGTGACAGCCTAAGCGATCGAATTCGCATAGGATGCTCTCCAACAAAGGAGTTCGACGGATCCAGATCGTGTGGAAGACAGAATAGGGCAGACAGTTTGAGCGTTAAAACCGGCGGTAAGAATATACATTACTGTGCTCGTTATATATATAT